GTGAAAGTATATTCTGTGTGACAGCACTACTTGCTTTTGCGTGTGCGTGACAGTACAGTGTGAGTATGACATTACAGTACGTGTGCAAAATACAGTATGTGTGAGAGTACGATGTGTGTAACATTACAGTGAGTTTTATGTGTGTGAGAAAGAGTAAAGTGTGTGACATTTTAGTACATTTTCGTATGCTTTTGTGACAGAGTACAACATATGTTGTAGAAAATTCCAGTCGGAGCCCTGGTTTGTATATGAAGAGAATATTTTATTTCTGCTCTGACTAACAAATTACAAAAAATCAGCCCTGCTTGCAGTCTCCCCTTTACTGCTTGAGCAGAGAACGCACGCACATCCACGAGTGTGGAGGCAGCATGCACAGATGAACGATTTCTCAGGTCAGTCAAAGTGCCTTCAGGAGGAGTCGGATTACTACATAATTCCGAGATATTATTGTCTATAGGGTTGCAAAGGGCTGGAAAATTTCTGGAAATTTTCCTGAAACTTTCCGTTCCATGGGAAGTTAAGCTGGGGAATTTTGGAAATATTCCACATTAGAAACTTTCCATGGGAATTAACGGGAAAGTATGGGAATTAACAAGAATATTCCTAGAATTTTGCAACCCTAATTGTCTATGACTTCTACAGACAGAACATACATTGCACATAGGTCTAGTTACAAGGTCGTATTGCACCTGGGCCTAATTTAAACAAAATGATTACCACCAATCAAGGTTGGAGAGGAAAGGGTGGTTAGCTAGTCAAAGCCAGGAAGAAGCGTGGCCACTTCATCTTCCCGGTGACGGCAGCAAATGATTGGGAGTACCAAGAACAAGGTACTACTTGAAAGGCATTTTGTAGCACTGCACCTTTGACCCTTATTTTTTTACAGCAGTGGCACTACACCAGACAGAGTTATTACATTCTAGTCCTGTTAAACAGTTTTCTTCAACAGTATGTGTTCTAGTATGTTTGTGTGACGGTACAGTATGTGTGCGAGAGTATAGTGTTTGTGCGAGAGTATAGTATGTGTGCGACAGTATAGTATGTGTGTATGTGTGACTGCGTTTATCATATTTTTTGCCATATTTATTTGTTTCTGGAGAAGAAAGATCACTCCTGGTTGGTCTCCCATCCAAGACAAATAAAGTTAAATGTAAAGTTGTACATCTTGAAGTTCAGTGCCTACACTACCTTTTCTACATTTGCATATTACTCACTTAACATTTACTAAAAATACACTCAATATTCTTTGCTAAAAAATAAATTTACAGTATCATTGCCATTTGAGTACCTTTATTAGCAAGAAAATGTCATATCTTTGATTCATCAAAGTAACCTCTAGCAGTTATAACAGTAAAGAAAATTCAAGGCATTCTTTGCACAAGGGACATTAAATACTGCTCTGTTTCATGGGATGAAACAGGTAGCTAGTGCATTTAAAGTTAAAGGACAACCTAGAATTTGACTCTGCCATCATCACACAACCAGGTAATAGGATGTCAGACATGCACTGTTACATACTCTTTCCATGTTACAAAGGAAAATTGTCATAGTTGTTCACTAAACTTTCCAATGCTTAACAAGAATAAAAAATCTGCAGTTTATGAAATAAATGGAAATGTGGTAAAAACCTGTGGTGTGCAAAAACTTTTCACTGGTACTGTATTATGGCCAATATGTCATTAGTGCTGGCCTACATATGATGTTAATACTCAGGTACAGATTACCAGGTCCCCTAGCCAATTGAACCAGTCCATGGTGATCACTCTTTCTTTGTTCCCTTCAAACTGTGAAGTGGTTTTGGGCACTGTTTGTCCAGTAGGAGAAAGCTGAAAGGCTTTTCTTATTCTGTCATAATCCTGACTGAGCAGCTGTCATTGAACTTCTATGCACCTCCTGCTTCGTAACTGTATCCTGTCCCTGCCCTTGTGTGGAGATTGCATGTTCTCTAAACCAGGTCTCCTCCAGATGCTCCAGTTTCCTCCAGAAACAAGAAAGTAGGTGAATTATCACTACAATGCAGATTGAAGGAATAAGATTTGTTAATCCCATCTCTCTGAAGCACACGGTGGTCTTACTGGAGGAATAAAGTGTGTCCTTCTATCACTGTGAAGCATATGATGGTCTCATTGGAGGAATAAAGTGTGTCCTTCTATCTCTGTGAAGCATATGATGGTCTCATTGGAGGAATAAAGTGTGTCCTCCAGTCACTGTGAAGTAGATGGAGGTATTACTGGACGAATGAAGTATGTCCATTAGGGTGGTCCAAAATTAACAACTTCACACAGCTTTCCCTCCACAACCCTAATTTTATTCTTCCCCTTATTACAAATGTGTCTGCCAAATTTTATTATGATTGGTCATTATTTAGAGGTCGCTCAAGCTGGTAGTAATGCAACACTGCAACAGCTATATTGTATTGTGTAATTGTATGCAATAAAACAAGGAAAACATGCAGTAAACAGAATTAGAATTTCTATGAGTGAAAAAGAACAGAAGAAACATGTCAAATTAGCTGATACTATCTTGGATTCAGGTT